GGGCGCCGGCATCACAGTATGGTAAGGGGCATAACATTTCCGTCACACGCTTGAGGAATTCGGCCAATCACAATGCACTGAATAGCTGGCCAATCACAGCATAGAGTTGAAACAATAATGTACAGTATGTAAAAAATTATGTGTTTTTTTCACTTTAAACCGCATAAACGCATTTCATTACACCAAATACACAAAATAATGTTATTTTTAGCAGCATCATATGACCCCATTAATACAAAGCGCCGAAAGGCAATCACACAGAGTACTTTTTTCATTTAAAAACATGAGATGCAGTGGGGTGGGGGGAAAAAACCCGCCTTAAAGTCTCCAGATGTTTTTTCAAAGTTGAACTTGCATTAATTTTACATGGCTTTCTAAACATGCGGCTCTTTTGTGCGAGATGTGAGTGCAACGTGATAGATGTCCCTCTAGAAAATGTGTGAAATATGCATTCTGTGTGAACGGCTTGGTTTCACTTTTGATGTAAACAAGATCTTCTCCGCAGTGATGTTCTCTTTTCCCGCAATATTTTTAATGAATAACGCAGCAGTGCCGCATCTAGTGGCTTCAACTGGACAGGCTAACAAAAACATTCAAATGCAACGACACTTACATCGTCATTGCATCACGTGCGCCACTGATAATGCTGCCTCCTAACGCACACCTAAAATTCGAATGCAACGTTTTTGCACTCGAATGTGGATTTTTATTTTAAATTTGACGAATATTCGAAATTCTAATTTTTTTGACAGCCCTAGTAGGTACTGTATGGCTCTGATATCATTCTGTTTTGATTGCATTTCTGATTGTTACAGGTTTATTTTGGCTGGAAATGAGTAGATGCTACAGTACTGATATGTTTCTTTCTGTTCCTCAGAGATGTAGTCTGGTCTGTCAGCAGACTCTGAGGTCTCACTATGCTGCTTTATCTGCTACTGGCCATCTCACTAACAAACGTCAATGGCCAGATAGACCCAGGTAATGTTACATGCAGACCGACACAAACATATGCATTCATAGAGACAGCGCCAAAAACATTCACTTTCTCCCCGTGTCCTCTCTCGACCTCCTCAGCTCACTGCCGTTATCCTCTCGGTATGGAGGACGGGAGGATCAAAAACGATGACATCACTGCCTCCAGCCAGTGGTATGAAACCACAGGCCCTCAGTATGCAAGGTAACATCAGGGTTACTTTAGTATCATATGAAATGCTATTATAGTTTTTGGTAATATTTTGAATTAGATTTTATGTTTACTGTTCCAGCTTTAATTTTAGCAGAAGTTAGTTATTTAGTTTTAGTTTTAGTACTTCGTTAAATTAAACAAAAATAAGAAATGTTGCCTTTGACAACTAGCTTAAATGAAATAATTAACATTGTTTCACAGGAAATTAAGTTAAAAAAGCAAAATTAAAAACATTATAGCATTCAAAAGTTTAGGATCGGTTTTTAAATGATTTTTAAAGGTCTCTGTCTTATTCTCGCCATTTATTTAATCAAAAACTAAGTAAAAAAGTAATATTATGTATTATATTTTTACAATTTAATATAATTATTCTCTATTTTGGTATGCTATTACAGTTATTTTGAATTACATTTTTATTATATTTTCTGCTTACACTTTAATGTGAGTTAAAGTTTTAGTAGTTTTGTTTTTAGGTATTTTAGTACTTTAAGTTAAAATAAACATAAATGAGAATAATGAGAAAAAAAAACTTGTTTTTTTTATATAAAATAACTGTTTTCTACTTCGATATGCTCTTATAGTTTTGTTAATATTTTAAATTAGATTTTATTTTAACATTTTCTGTTTCTGCTATAATTTTCATTAAAGTTCTAGTAGTTTTGTTGTGTGTTTTTGTGATACATGTCTATATATTTTTTATGAATTTAGTAATTTTAGTTTATTTAGTTTTAGTTATTTTAGTACTTTAAGTTAAACTAAATAAAAATTAGAAATTTTGCCTTTGGCAACTCACTGAATAAAATAAATATAAAATTTTATTTTATTTCAGTTAATGTTTATTTTATTTCAAGTAAAGAATTTTTAATGGTTTTAGTTAACTATAATAACCATGGGTAACATGTGACTTTAACGCTGAAGTGTATAAGTGTAGTAGATACAGCTATGGAGTTTTTTCAAAGTGCATCAAGCTTGTTTACCTCAAAAAAATCTAGCTAAATTTTGATTCGTCATGGTCTGACTCCTTTCAGTAAAGCTCTAGGCCTCTTTTAGAGCATAATTTGCATCTGTCTGTTGTTCCATCAGGTTAAACCGTGAGGAGGGGGACGGCGCCTGGTGTCCTGCTGGTCAACTGCAACCATCAGATGTTCAGTATCTTCAGCTTGACCTTCGTCAGCTCATCTTCCTCACCGTGGTTGCTACGCAGGGTCGCTACGCACACAACTCCGGCAACGAGTTTGCACGCAAATACCGTCTTGAGTACAGTCGCGATGGACACCACTGGATCTCCTGGAGAAACCGTTTTGGCAGTGAGGTAGGAAAAACAAGAGTGTATTTACTAAATGTTAATTTTTTTAATAAATGACATGGATGAACAAAAGTTTTGGTGCTAAATTAAAATGAGCAAATTCATAAGTTATACCAGTAAGCAATTATGCTATCCACTACTGTTCAAAGATATGGGGTAAGATTTTTTTTATTCTTTTTGAAAGAAGTCACTAATGCTCACCAACACTGCGTTTATTTGATCAAAAATACAGTAAAAACAGTAATATTGCTGAAAAAAGTATTACAATTTACATGAACTGTTTTCTATTTGAATATGCTTTAAAATATCTTTTATTCCTGTGATCAAAGCTGAATTTTCAGCATCATTACTCCAGTCTTCAAGTGTCACATGATCCTTTGGAAATCATTCAATATGCTGATTTGCTGCTCAATTGTTTTGAAAAGAATGTTGAAAAGGATAGTACAGCTTAATATTTTTATGGAAAAACATGATAAATTTTTTTCAGGATTCTTTGATGAATAGAAAGTTCAGCATTTATTTGAAATAGAAATCTTTTGTAACATTAAATAACTTTTGATCAATTTAATGCATCCTTGAAGAATAGAAGTATTCATTTCTGACCCAAACTTTTGAATGGTAGTATATATTAGTGCATTATCCTGTATATACAGTATAATTATAATTCTAGCAACCAGTAATCATAGCAATTCTATTTGAGTTATTGAATAGTGCAGTATGTTGTGTTATGAAACCGAACCAGTCCTGAATGCTGATTAGTCAATACAGCATTTTCAGCCATGCTACACCTATTGACATCACCTATTAGCTTTAGTTTACATGTCAGGGACTATATCTTCTAGTGGAAGGATTCCAGAAAATGAATTCGTTTCATAACATTCTAATAAAAGTGTTTATACTATTTTTATTATGCAATTACCACTGCACGCTCTTCCTACTGTTATGTTCATAATGTAGCACAGTCTCGTACCTTATTGTTTAACTAATGTCTTCTGCAGATTTTAATGGCCAATATAAACACCTACGAGTCTGTGGTGAGAGACCTCCATCCTCCCATCATCACTCGGTTCTTACGTTTGATTCCTGTTACCGATGCCATACACACTGTGTGCATGAGAGTAGAGCTGTTCGGATGCGCCTGGCAGGGTAAGTCATAAGAATTCCATAATTTTATGCAGTTTTATAAAAAATTATTACAAATATAATTGTATTAATCTGCTCCTTCTGTTAAGCTGCAAATGGAAACATTTATAAATGCAGACAAACAACTAAAACTAAAGCCATAAAAAAAAAATTTCAGAGGTAGTCGAAAATGCATTTGACCGGATTGCTTTCCTAGTGTAGACGCTCATATGGTTGAATGCTTTCAATGCCTCCTCTCTGCCTTCTGACCTGATTCTTAAACATTACAGGAAGTGTTGTTGAAGCGCACTTGCCAAAGCGATTTAAACTTTGCCGGATGAAATCCTAAGTTTGGTTTGAAGGCAAAAAAAATTAAAAAGCACAATGTTCTCTTACCAGTCCTGATTCTAACACAAACCTACAGTTTTTGGTGTAGTTTTGTGGCTGTCTCCTTTCGTGTTCTTAAAGGGATAGTTCACCCAAAAATGTAGGTGACTTTGTTTCTTCAGTAGAACACAAACAAAGATTTTTAACTCAAACCGTTGCAGTCTGTCAGTCACATAATGGAAGTGAATGGCAATCACGGCTTTGAGAGTCAAAAAAACATACACAAACAAAACCAAATTAAACCCTGCGGCTCGTGACGATACATTGATGTGTAAAGACACGAAACAATCATTCTGTGCAAGAAACTGAACATTATTTATATAGTTTTTTTTCCCTCTGATGCACCAGAACTGTCCAGAGCGCATCCTGAGCGCGTTCAACAGCCTGTGCCTGATGCGTCGTCGTCATCTTCTTGCTATGGACCATTGACACTCTATCTACAATCTCAATTATTAGTGTCAATGGTCCATTTGAGAGATAGGTGGCGGTAATGCACTTATAAGTCTGCGATCCGCCGTAAAGCACGAAGAAGAAGACGCGTCACGCGCCGGCTGTGTTAATTTGGTTTTGTTTGTGTATGTTTTTTTGACTCTCAAAGCCGTGATTCCCATTCACTTCCATTATAAGACTGACAGACTGCAACGGTTTGAGTTAAAAATCTTTGTTTGTGTTCTACTGAAGAAACAAAGTCACCTACATCTTGGATGCCCTGGGGGTAAGCAGATAAACATCACATTTTCATTTTTGGGTGACCGATCCCTTTTAAGTAATTTGTCATATCGTTATAATGAAATAAAATTTCTCATACCATGAAATAAGATTTTGGTCATATCGCCCACCCCAAAGATGCCAGATATATTATGTATTTTTTTAAGCTATGATTCTGGATAATTGATTTTTAGAATAGAGATCACGGTTAAATGAATTCATTATGTGAAAAATTATTTGAAATGAAAGGAAAGACTTGGTTTTGAACGAATCTCTTGAATGAATGATTCTTGGGCTGCGTAAAAAATATTGATATCTCGATATTAATCGATTCTCATTTTTACGAAACAATATCGATTCTTAAATCCCAAGAATCGATTAGTCTAGCCTGTTTTCAGTTAATGGACGGAACATTGAAGGGCACTTCCCATCCTCTGAATCGCAATAAGCATTGTGCTTTGGTACTTTTAATATGAAACAAAGTCTCAGATTTCAAATTATGTTCATTGTATTGCAGTACTCAAACAATAAATACTGTTTTGGTGCTGTTTAATGTAGAGTGACAGATCGCTGTAGCGCCTCAGTTCAACAGACGCAGCTGCGCGAGGCACACGTGAACTGATCATCTCCTCCACATTAATACCTATGTGTTTCAGCACAAAATAAACATGACTAAATATCCGAAGGGAAGTTAAAAGAAAGAGTACAACTTTACAATCCATATCCTGTCTCATGTATTCACTCAATTAGTGTTTTAGCCGCACAAAGACGTCAATATAACGGCTCGTAAACAATGTCATGTAACGTCATATTTACCTCAGAAGAAAACATATTCATGACCATAATCTCATTAGTTCGATAGAAAAATAAACTGTAGAGAGGAGCATTTTGCTAAATATATGCACCATATAATGTATTCATTATACATTTTACTGTTCTTCAATGTTTAATTGATCATTTTTTATGACAGACACCATTTAAATGTTTATATTTAAAAAATGAATTGAAGTAGAAATATTATGTAATTGTAATTATTATAAAAACTTAATTAAGTGTAATTTAAGCAGTTGTATTGCCTAAAAAATCAGTCAGTTTTAATCATCAATATTATAGTAATGTAGTACCAAATTACTCTCATGTGTATTTTACAGCATTAGTTGAGAGATTTTTTTTCCTTGAGAAAATTTTGCATGTGTACCAGATATATATCCAAAATAATCGATATTGAATCGAATCGAAAGCTTGTGAATGAGAATCGACTCGAAGGATTCAGACATCAAATACGTTTTAATGTAACGTTAAAATAATGTAACGTATATAATCTTTATTTGAAGCGTAACGTTAGTTCCAAAGGTCAATTACTCATTTTGATCGCGGCTATATCCGGACTATAAACTTTTATTCTAATACCTTCGTTATTATTTAATGTTTGCAACACAGAAATGTGGCCTACAGTGTAGACTGTTTGTGAAGCTGTTTCAAATGTAAAGCTTACATGATGAGTGCTGCTCTCTCTGAATGTGATTGTCATTTCAAAGGTTTTGTAATTTCGTCGTCATTTAGGAATAATATAGCATGTGTTTGGATCGAGATTGCGATCTTTTAATAATTAATCGTGCATACATATGAGCCTATAGTCTATGTATTTTTGTATGTCATATTTGTACCAGCCCAGGCCCGAGTGCCCTTCCGCGATCCATGGTCTCACTCGTCTACTTGTGATCCGATCGACCAAAACACATCTTAATATCAGGTGTTAACAGGGCCTCAGTTTCACACTTGCATATGGGCTACAGACTAAAACAGATCGTTTTGGCGTCTCACACTCGAGCAGCTGTGGCCTGTGTCTGATTTGCTGCTTAGTTTCGTTTGACCTCAATTACTCTAGTGCCTTAAACGTGAGCCAAGAGAAATGAGTAATTACATTCTAAAGCTAAAGCAATATTAAAGTTTGGGGCCTCTCTGTTTTCTCTTTCTCCTGCTGTGCAGATGGCCTGACAGCGTACAACTCTCCAGAGGGCCAGACCATGATGGCTCCTGGCTATCCCATTACACCTCTCAACGACTCCATGTACGACGGGGCTCTGGAGCGCAGGTGAAGGTCTAATTGTCACACTCAGGTGCACTCAAAACACTCACGAAGATGATGAAGGTAAAAGTATCTTTAATATTCCACACAGAAGGTAAATCCACAAGAGGAAGGCTTAGCACACGTGAAAACATAGACAAAATCCGACCAACACTAACTGAACAGACAGGAACTTAAATACACAGACAAATTAAAGGGATGGTTGACTGTTTTTTTTATAGTGTATTCTAAGTGTATTCACTGAGCTGATGATTTGAATGAGAGAGAGAGAGAGAGATGCAGAGCATGTGCAGAGCAGGGCGAGGCCAGGAACAGGATGAGAACGCTGCTTTAGAACATTTTGAAACTTGTAAATCCATTAGAATCGTTAGAAGACAGAATCGCGATTCATATATCAATAGATTTTTACGTGCACCCCTAGTTTTCTCTTCCTCTTCTCTAAAGCAGCGCAGCATGGCCTCGCCCTCTTTGCTGCGTGTTCCCGGAGGCGGGGACTTATGGGTTAAAATTATGGGTTCTTGACGTAACGGACCTGGGAAGTAACTCGTTGTAGTCCCTTACCAGTAATTTTTGTAGGCATTAAACTGCCAGAATTTTAAAAGACGATATCTCCGTTTGCATTGAACTTTCAGCTTCATAACTTTGCAGATATTGTTTATGATCAAACAGCAACATTACACACTAACAAACATTAAAAAAGTGAAATCGCAATCAACCACCCCTTTAAGATACGTTGTTAAATTGAAAATATATTTAGTTTCAACCTTTGTATACCAGAATGAAAGAATTAGTTCTAAATAAGAAATGCATACACATAAGTTCAAAAGTACTAAAGTACTAAAAGTAATTTGCTCCTGTGAATATGGTGGAAAAATACACTGAACAAAATTATAAACGCAACACTTTAGTTTTTGCTCCCATTTTTCATGAGCTGAACTCAAAGATCTAAGACTAGTTGCTGGATATTAGCAGGAACTGGAACACGCTGTCGTATATGCCGATCCAGAGCATCCCAAACATGCTCAATGGGTGACATGTCCGGTGAGTATGCTGGCCATGCAAGAACTGGGATGTTTTCAGCTTCCAGGAATTGTGTGCAGATCCTTGCAACATGGGGCTGTTCATTATCATGCTGCAACATGAGGTGATGGTCGTGGAAACAATGGGCCTCAGGATCTCGTCACGGTATCTCTGTGCATTCAAAATGCCATCAATAAAATGCACCTGTGTTCGTTGTCCATAACAAACGCCTGCCCATAGCATAACTAAGGATGGGTATCGTTAAGGTTTTAACGGTATAACTACTCTTATCGATACTGCTTATCGATTCGGTACTTTAACGGTACGTTTTGTTATTTATATACAGTATATATATATATGACAAATTAAGAGCTGAATTAACATATTCTGAAATGTAAAATAAACATTTAATGAAATGAGTATAAAACATCAATTTGTAATTTCACCAGTGTGCAGGCATTTTTAGTGTTTTATACATAAGATACAGTAAAAACATGAACAAAGAAACAAAGTAAAACAAACTGACAAATACAATAAAACAAATATATAAATTAAATTAAATAAACAGTGCTGTCATTTTTCCATGAAGTTCTACTAACATTACTGTTCAGGTAAGTAATAGCCTACAAAAGAAATCTAAAAGTAATCAAATGTAAATGAACACTGCATAGTTTTCATTGTATGTATTGATAGATCAATGCTTATTAAAGCTATAACGTTATTCAGATTAAGAGCAGATTTGCATTTTGATGGCCCAAGCGCCAGTCTGTCACTTTAAGACAATATTGTTACAGGGCGAACGAGACGTGAGACGTGCGGATCCCTCTGCAAGGCTTTTTTAAAGGGTGTGGTCATGAAAAAGGCATGGGTCAGACAATGGCATACAGGTATATTAAGGGCAAGACAGAAGAGTAATCCAAAACGGGCGTGGTCAATCAGCAGCTAACAATATCTAGAGGGCTTGACACGAGGGGTTATCCAATAACACAAGCTAGAGTCCAGGCAAGGTGCAAACACAGTCCGAAACAGCAGGCAAAGGGTTAATCCAAGAGAAACAGGCAATAATCAGGTAACACGGGAAAGCAGGCAAGACAAGACTATGACTAGACTATGGAAACTAGAACTAAATACTTAAACAAGGACAGGGAACTGGCTCCGTAAAGTAGCTATCACTAGGTGAGTGATATGCGCTTACAATACTCGGCCGTGTGAGAGGGATCTGAGTGAGTGTTATATAGTGAATGTGTGAGATTGGTTACAGCTGTGTGCAATCAGTGCGGTGTGCAATCAGTGCAATGGATGATGGGATATGTAGTCCGGGATGACATGCAACAGTTTGTGTAGTGCGAGAGTCAATGTAATGGAAGGGTGACCTCTGGTGGTGAGTGAATTGAAGTTCATAGACCGGATTCATGACAAATATATTGACACACAACGGATTTTCTCCCAACTGTTCTCCTCCACTTAAGACATAAACTGTGTTTAAGTAAATACTCTCCAAGCCGGCCATTTGGACATATTTTGTGTGTATTTGATCGTTTGGACGTGCACCTGAAGCTCAAAGTGTAATTTGTTTGTCCGTTTTGGAGCATGCCGCGCACACATTTCAGCTTGAAGCACAGCGTCTCTTGTGCGGATTGTGCTTTCAACGTTTTATTATCAAACATGTCCCGCAATTTAGCAACAGTAAAGACTGCATCTTACAACAATCACCGACTGAGCTGATTCTGACTTTAAATTTGGGTTTTAGGGAGGAACGAATGCGCACCGCTGTGAAGGGAAAGAAGTTGCACAATACGAAACGCAGCTAGTTTTTAATAGCTTTACCTCATGTCTTCTTTTGTATAATCCTTAGAAGCCAAAATCGAAAAATAAAAAAAAGGGCTTTCATGTTGCACGTGCTGAAGCTCCTCCGCGTGGGGGCGATCTCGCTTCTGAATTACGAATAGCAAAATTGCATCATAGACAAATGTTTGAAAAACAGCTGGTGACTCTGGTGAGATAGAATTTGCAAGATCATTTATATAGCAATAATAAATGTATGTGCGTTTTCTTAATTTCTCCAGTACCGATAGCAGAACCGTTAACGTCAGAGCTTATCGATACTCCAGTCTTTCATAATTTAGCCCCGAGACCGATTAAATACCGAGTTTCGGTACCCATCCCTAACCATAACCCCACCGCCACCATGGGCCACTCGATCCACAACGTTGACATCAGCAAACCGCTCACCCACACGACGCCATCCACGCTGTCTGCCATCTGCCCTGTACAGTGAAAACCGGGATCCATCCGTGAAGAGAACACATCTCCAAAGTGCCAGATGCCATCAAAATGTGAGCATTTGCCCACTCAAGTCGCTTACGACGACGAACTGCAGTCAGGTCGAGACCCTGATGAGGACGACGAGCATGCAGATGAGCTTCCCTGAGACTGTTTCTGACAGTTTGTTCAGAAATTCTTTGGTTATGCAAACCGATTTCAGCTCATGAAAAATGGGGGCAAAAACTAAAGTGTTGCGTTTATAATTTTGTTCAGTGTATGTAATTGATAAATAAAAATGTAAAATTAGCTGATATTGAAATTCTGTTTTGTTTTGTCTAATTAAATAAAAATAAAACTTGAAAAAATATTTTAAATGACTGTAAGTACATTTACATTTAATGAAAGTACATTTAAGCATCACAACATTACAATATTTAGAATGAAAAATGAACATTAAATTTGAGATATAATAAATATTACATTTGATTTAACATTGTTATTTAACTTTCAATGTTTTTAAAGATTAATTTTACGTGTATTTTAGTTGGTGGAAAAGGTCATCTAAATATAATAATAATAGAAATAAGTACACTACCATTGTAAAGTTTATAGTTGTATAGTTCTAAAGTAAGTAATACTTTTATTCAGCAAGATTGTATTTAAATCGATCAAAAATGACAGTAAAGACTTTTATAATGTTTCAAAAGATTTCTATTTCAAATAAATGTTGTTCTTTTGAACTTTTTATTCATCAAACTTTTTTTATTCATCCTGAAAAAACATATTACGATTTCCACAAAAATATTTTGCATCACAAATGTTGATAATGATAATAAGAAATGTTTCTTGAGCAGCAGATCAGCATATTAGAATGATTTCTGAAGGATCATGTGACACTGAAGACTGGAGTAATGATGCTGAACATTCAGCTTTGCATCACAAGAATAGATTACATTATAAATTTTACATTTAAATTGCATATATTAAATAGAAAACAGCTATTTTAAATTGTAATAATATTTCACAATATTCCTGTTTTTACTGTATTTTAGATCAAATAAATCCAGCCTTGGTGAGCAGAAGAGACTTCTTTCAAAAACATAAAAAATCTTATTGAGTCTAAACTTTTGTGTGTACAATGAAATATCTAATATCAGTCAATGCCAATTAAATAATAATAATAATAAAAATAAAATATTTTGGGTAAATATCCCTTTATATATAGTTTGCTGGTTGTCTTTTTCTTCACATTGATTCGTCATCCACTTTTCAGGGTCATTCTGTGGCAGAACAATCATGACTGTATTTAAGTTCTAGAATGAATGCTAATCACTCCTCGCCCAAAGCTAAGTGCTTCCTGTCTCTCTCTGCTCCCACAGGAAGCTGTCTGGGGGTCTGGGTCAACTGACGGATGGTGTGATCGGTCAGGATGAATTCGTACAGAGAAGACAGGACCGGTTGTGGCCCGGATATGACTATGTGGGCTGGAGGAACGACAGCTTGGGCCCTGGATATGTAGAGATGGAGTTCCAGTTTGACAGACAACGAAACTTCACTTCTATGAAGGTGAGAGTGAAGCACAAGCTGTGTGTGAGGCAGGTATGGAAGTAAACAGGACCAGCGTTTGAAAGCAAAATGCAAAGCTTGTATTTTTGATAAAGAGCAGAAATATAGTGAAATATTATTACCATTCAAAAGAACTGTTTTCTATTTGAATATATTTTAAAGGGGTCATGTGATGCGATTTCATGTTTTCCGTTGTCTTTGGCGTGTTAAAGGGTTACTCCACCCCAAAATGAAAATTTAAAAGCTTTGTTCGTCTTCGGAACACAATTTAAGATAGTTTGGATGAAAACCGGGAGGCGTGTGATGTTAACAGAATAGCGTACGCTGCTTGCGTTCAGAGGATATTCTCCAAAATGGCTCTACAATGATGCGGAGAGACACAGAGGAGACGAATTGTTGAATAAAGTCATCATTTTTGTTTTCTTCGCATACCAAAAGTATTTTCGTCGCTTCATAACATTACGGTTGAACCACTGATGGCAGATGGACTATTCTGACGATGTCTTTCATACTTTTCTGGATCTTGACAGTGTAATTTACTTGGCAGTCAATGGGACAGTCACAAGCCTCCCGGTTTTCATCCAAAATATCTTAAATTGTGTTCCGAAGACGATCAAAGCTTTTACGGGTTTGGAACGACATGGGGGTAAGTGATTAATGACAAAATTTTCATTTTGGGGTGGAGTATCCCAAGCTCTTCGTGCATACAGAAGATCAGTAAAGTCGCTAAGATTAAAGTCTCAAACCCAAAGATATATTCTTTATAAAAGTGAACGCTCAGCCACGCCTACCTAAAACGGCTCGTTCGAACACGCCCCCACATATCTACGTCACTGTGTGGGAAGATTTGCATAACTCCGCCCAAATGTATACGCAAAGAGAGAAGACGTAACTTTGATTCTCGCTGTAGTATTTTTGCTGCCGCTGTGTCGTGGAGACGCTGTGTGTTTCGTTGCGAAAGCTAAACTACTTTGTTTGGTCTTCCAAAAGAGGACACAACTAGAAATCAGTGGTTAAGTTGTATTTACAACACTGTTCCAGAACAGTTCAACCCAAATATTCAGATGTGTGCAGCGCATTTTACGGAGGAAACTAGTTATCTGAACCTGGTAAGGGGCGTAACATTTTCGTCACACGCTTGAGGTATTCGGCCAATCACAACGCACTGGATCGCTGGCCAATCAGAGCACACCGCGCTTTTCAGAACAATGAGCTTTGTAAAAATCTACGTGTTTCAGAAAGGCGGGGCATAGAGGAGAAACAATCATTTACAGTATGTGGAAAATAATGTGCTTTTTTAACCTTAAACCACGTAAGCACATTGCATTACACCAAATACACAAAATACTGTTTTTTTAGCAACGTCATATGACCCCTTTAAAATGTCATTTATTTCTGTGATGAAAAGCTGAATTTTCAGCATCATTACTCCAGTGTCACTGTCACATGATTTTAAGAAATCATTTTAATATGCTAATTTACTGCTCAAGAAACTTTTGAAACAGTGATACAAATTTTCAGGATTTTTTTGATTAATAGAAAGTTCAAAATAGCAGCATTTATGTGAAATATAAATCTTTTGTAACATTATAAATGTCTTTACTGTCACTTTTGACCAATTTAATGCATACTTGCTGAATAAAAGTGATTTTTTTTTTTGTGATACTGACCCCAAACTTTTGAACAGTATAATATTTCAACATTGTGGTGATTCACATGAAACTGTGTATTTTGATGTTTATTTATTTCCGGTCCTCACTGTAAGTACCTTATGGTAACTTCATTTTTCAAACTGAGGGACAGTAATTTTATGACCATATTTATTTTCAGTGGTAATTGGCATTTCATCCACTAACGCTGTTAATAGAACTCAACTTGTGCTGAACCCAAAGCGTTCATTTACCATGTGTACAGTATGTGTTCTGGTTTAAATCTGTAGTGTTTGTAATTTGAACTTGATGCGCTTTGAAGTGTTTGTTGACTGACACAGTTTTAATGTAGCACTAATTATACACCATATTTCACTCATAATAACACATAATTGCATGTTGGAGCAGGATTGCTTGCCATAATAACGATGCTTATTGTGTCTGTATATAATCATGCCCGTGTCTGTGGAGAGTGTGGTTTAGGTGCTTAATCTTGAAGTAATGATTTTATATATTAGAAAATAACGTTTATTGAAGTCGGGCCACTTTCTTTTAGTTGCTTTTTATCTAATTATTTTTCTTTATTTATTTATAAGTCAGCATGAAATCAGAGTCGATATTATTTACTTACAATTTACTTGTATGCATTGTTTAAAAGTTTGGGGTCAGTAAAAATTTTCTGTATGTTTTTGAAAGTATGCTGCATTAATATGTCAGTTTTTATATGTTATAAATTTTTTCAGGACACTTTGATGAACAGAAAGTTCAAAATAACAGCTTTTTTTTTTTAAATGGAAATCTTTTGTAACATTATAAATGTCTTTACTGTCAGTTTTGATTCATTTAATGCATCCTTGAACTACTGTACATAATTCCAACTTTTCACAATTCAATCCAGTCATTTCCCAATGAATACAGTTCCTCCTGTTTTTTTTCTTCTTTCACTTGAAAATATATCACTTTATTAAAAATAAAAATAGTTAACGTCGTTCATGTTGACTGATTATAGTACAATGAGGCTTGATTTATACTGAACACAGAAAGGCTTCAGATGTGAGCCTTTAAATGTTAATGATGCTTATTTATCTTCTTTTGAACAGGTTCACAGTAATAACATGTTCTCTCGGGGTGTGAAGATCTTCGCGTCCGTGTCCTGCGTGTTTAAGTTGCACCTCATTTCTGAGTGGGAAGCAGAACCGGTTGAGTTTCACACCGTTCTAGATGACCGGAACCCAAGCGCTCGCTATGTGACCGTCCCGTTAAAGCACAGATTGGCTACGGCGCTGTGCTGCCGCTTCTACTTTGCTGACACTTGGATGATGTTCAGTGAGATCTCATTTCAGTCTGGTATGAAATTGGAACAACTCGCCTCTCCTTCCCACTGGTATTCTCAGTATTCCCTCATTAAAATACATCCAGGACTGTGAAATGCTTTTCATATCATCATTGCCAATTTATTAATTTCAACTTTGGGTTTGGGAAGAAATTTTAAAAATGTTTTTGAAAGAAGTATCTTATGCTCACTAAAGGATTTATTTGATCAAAAATACAATAAAAACAGTAATATTGTGAAATATTATTACAATTCAAAATTTTCAATTTGAATACATTTTAAAATTTAATTTATTCCTGTGATGCAAAGCATCAGTCTTCAGTGTCACATGATCCTTTAGAAATTCTAATTTGCTGCTCAGAAACAGCATTTATTTGAAATAGTTTTTTTGTAACAATAAAAAAGTATTTTCTGTCACTTTTGATCAATGTAATGCATCCTTATTAATCCGTCTTAATTTCTTTGTGCATTTGGAAATGCATGCAATAATGTACTAATTCGAATTATAAATGCATTTTTAAGTGGGTGTAATTTAAGGTTTAGTAACATCCTGTGTTTTAATTATTTTCCATTGCAGCAACTAATGTGCTTCCTGCCCAGAGGCCCCCAGTCTTGACCCCTCCTTCATATGAGCTTAACAGCAAAGTACCACAAACTACACAAAAAACAGGTAAATCACAGCACTTTTATGTTCAACATGTAATCATTTGATACTGTTTACTTTCTTATTGCATGTTATTTCAAAGAAAATTAAATGTTTGTCTAACCAAAATCTTATAGAGAACGCTTTTCCTGATCCAGTCAGTTTTCCGATGAATACAAATGAAGGAAATGTGTCACATTATGGAAGTAAAATGGGTTGTGAACATCATTTCCTGTTGGCTTCAAATGAGTATGCCTGTCTACTGTACTAACTTGCATTCTACACACTTTGATTGAACTTTAATAACCCGTCTGTGTTTGACAGAGGACCGGACCACACCAAAACCATCAAAAACAGGCTCTCCTGAAGAGGGCAGTACATCGATTCTGATTGGCTGTCTGGTGACTATTATTCTTCTACTAGTGGTGATCATCTTTCTGATTCTGTGGTGCCAATATGTGTGCAAAGTCCTGGAGAAGGTGTGTATGTGTGTACTGTAATGTTTGTATTAATGAAACAAATTATAATGCTTCTCAACAATACATGAAATATTTGAATAGCATAAAGTGTCTTGGTCTACTGAAAGGATGAGCATAGTTGAATTTGAAGATGTGACTTCACAGACATGTGACATCTTTGAGAAGTTGTGTCTCTAAATTTATCCCCAAGAAAGCACCGCTTCTAAAAAAAAAAAATAATAATAATAAAAATATTCTGGAATGTCCAGTGAATATCCATTTTCAGTGAATGTGCGAGATTTCCGTTTCATTAGCCACTATTGGTAAATAGCTATAAAAAATATAGAAGTGCAACAAACAGTAAAACTGTTTACACTACAAATCAGTGTTGTACAAGAAGCAGATTTGAACTGATAAAAATAAAGCAAAGCAGGACACCGGAAGTTAAAAAGCTAACAAATCAGTAACACTTTACTTAAGGCCTTTATGTATAATGCATTAGAAAGGTATCATAATGTATGTCGTAATGCACTAAATCTTTTCATAAATAGTAACCAAATTTAAAATGCTTTATAATATTTGAAGGTTTCTCTGTCATGTGTTATAATGCATTATACTTTATAAAGGTGTGACAACGAATAGATAAGTATTATAATTTATTATAACTGTGGTTACAATTATTCATGAGATCATACAGTGCATTACAAGGCATATATAATGCAGTAAAAATACTTTTTTACTTTTAAAGTGCTGCCAAAGATGCTGACTTATTAAGCAACTTATATAATGCAGTTATTGTTAAGCATGCAAAACATGCACAAATCGTACAGTTTGTATTTGTTTGTTTGTGATCAATGTTTAGAATAAATGTTGTTTATAATGAATGCCGTTATATACAGTATATTGTTTAATTTAAAGAAATTGTTGGGGAGAGAGGGAACTACATAGTGTTTATAAACTAGCATTTTGTTTTATATAGCAGTATTTTACATTATTTCTGAATTTGATGATAAAACATGGTTTATACATTACATAGATGCAAATTATCTGTGGGTTTTTTGCGACTTATTTTCTGAAAAATACGGTAATACAAATAGTCTCTCTCTCTGTCTCAGGCTCCGAGGCGTATTTTGGAGGAGGAGGTGACAGTACGTTTGTCCTCTAGCAGTGACACTATAATTCTGCAGACTCCTCCGGTGCCCCCGCGCGTCTCCCTCGACCCGCCCTACGAGAGGATCTTCCTGCTGGACCCACAGTATCAGGATCCCGCTGCACTCAGGAACAAACTTCCCGAGTTGTCGCAAAGCGCAGAGGCTTCTGGTACCATCCATTATACACAAACACACACTAACTTTGTGTCAAACCCTGGTGAGCTGAATGAACTACTGATCCCATGAATCCTTATGAATTAAAAATGCCACAATATAAATCTATTGCCTTAAAGGATAGTTCACGCAAAAATGAAAATTCGGTAATTTACTCACCCTCAAGTTGGGCCAAACCTCTATGAGTTGTTTTCTTCTGTTGAATGCAAAAGAAGATAATTTGAAGAATGTTGGTAACAAAACAGTTGCTTTTGACCATTGACTTCCATAGTATGAAATAAAAATACCAGCAACTGCAACATTCTTCAAAATATCTGCTTTTATGTTCTACAGAAAAAAAAAGCATATGGTTTTGAAACAACATGAGGGTAAATAAATGATCACAGAATTTCCATTTTTGGGTGAACTGTCCCTTTAAGTCATTGCATATAAGTATAAAACCAGCATTTCTTTTTTTGTTTTGTTAATAAAATCAAATAAATACAAACATATATAGTAAGGTTTTTTTAAAGATTAAAAAAAAAAATTCTTGTTCACCAAGGCTGCATTTATTTAATTGAAAATACAATAAATACAGTAATATTGTAAAATATGATTTTAATTTAAAATAATGTTTTTATATTTTAGTTTTTACTTTATTCTGCCATCTTAATATTTTTGAGAGAAAAAAATCACAATTCTTTTGATGAATGGGAAGTTCAAAAGAACAGTATTTATTTATTTATAACATTATAAATGTCTTTGTCACTTTTTATCAGTTTAATGTTTCCTTGCAGAATAAGAGTATTCATTTCTCTAAAATAAAATCTTTCTGACTCCAAACTGAACTTTAGTACCTGAAACTGACTCATTTCTGGTGCCCCCGCGCGTCTCCCTCGACCCGCCCTACGAGAGGATCTTCCTGCTGGACCCACAGTATCAGGATCCCGCTGCGCTCAGGAACAAACTTCCCGAGCTGTCGCAAAGCGCAGAGGCTTCTGGTACCATCCATTATACACAAACACACACTAACTTTGTGTCAAACCCTGGTGAGCTGAGTGAACTACTGATCCCATGAATCTTTATGAATTAAAAATGCCACAATATAAAACGATTGCCTTAAAGGATAGTTCATGCAAAAAATCTGTAATTTACTCACCCTCAAGTTGGGCCAAACCTCTATGAGTTGTTTTCTTCTGTTGAATGCAAAAGAAGATAATTTGAAGAATGTTGGTAACAAAACAGTTGCTTTTGACCATTGACTTCCATAGTATGAAATAAAAATACCAGCAACTGCAACATTCTTCAAAATATCTGCTTTTATGTTCTACAGAAAAAAAAGCATACGGTTCTGAAGCAACAGGAGGGTAAATAAATGATCACAGAATTTCCATTTTTGGGTGAACTGTCCCTTTAAATCATTGCATATAAGTATAAAACCAGCATTTCTTTTTTTGTTTTGTTAATATAATCAAATAAATACAAACATACAGTATATAGTAAGGTTTTTTTAAAGATTAAAAAAAAAATTCTTGTTCACCAAGGCTGCATTTATTTAATTGAAAATACAATAAATACAGTAATATTGTAAAATATGATTTTAATTTAAAATAATGTTTTTATATTTTAGTTTTTACTTTATTCTGCCATCTTAATATTTTTGTGAAAAAAAAAATCACAATTTTTTTGATGAATGGGAAGTTCAAAAGAACAGTATTTATTTATTTATAACATTATAAATGTCTTTGTCACTTTTTATCAGTTTAATGTTTCCTTGCAGAATAAGAGTATTCATTTCTCTAAAATAAAATCTTTCTGACTCCAAACTGAACTTTAGTGTAAGTACATGTACCTGAAACTGACTCATTTCCCGCCGCGCACAAATGACGTCGCTGTCGACTGGCTTACGTCACTTCTTAGTACACACTCTCGGTGCGAATGCAACCCTTTAAATGGTACTGGGAAATAGTTCGCGCAAAATCGTCCCAGTACTTTAGTACTGTACGTTTAGTTCTGGAACTAAAGCGGTGCGAAAGGGCCTAAAGAAGGCAGGCTCCAGAGCACACCTACTAATTGACCCTTTACAAAGACCCGCCCCCCCTTACTTACTGTTGCTATGTCCGACAAGCCATGCCACTCTCACGGCACAAATCATGTTCTCACGCAGTAAAAAATACATCGTGGACACTGACAACTCGCCGATAGACAAGACAGAGCAGGTTACTTTTGGTATGAAACAAAGTCTCAGCTTTCAAATTTAGTCATTTTTTTTAAGAAATTCAAACTATAAACGTGTCGTGACAGATCGCTGTAGCACCTCAGTTCAAGTGGCAAGTCAAGTTTCCAAGTCACCTTTATTTATTTAGCGCTTTTAACAATACAGATTGTGTCAAAGCAACTGTACAGCATTAATTAGGAAAATAGTGTGTCAATAATGCAAAATGACAATAGTAAACACTCAATTTTCAGTTAAAGGCAGTTCATCATTGAATTCAGTGATGTCATCATCCAGCTCAGTTCAGTTGGAATAGTATCTGTGCAATCAAGTCGACGATATCGCTGGAAATAAAGTGTCCCCAACTAAGCAAGCCAGAGGCGACAGCAGCAAGGAACCAAAACTCCATCAGTGACTGAATGGAGAAAAAACCCTGGGAGAAACCAGGCTCAGTCGGGGGGCCAGTTCTCCTCTGACCAGACGAAACCAGCAGTTAAATTCCATGCTGCAGCAAAGTCAGATTGTGCAGAGGACTCAATTAGTTCCTGTGGTCTTGTCCTGGTGGCCGTCTAGGAGACAAGGTCTTTACTGGGGATCTGTCTCTGAGACTCATCTAGTTGTCCTGATCTCCACTGACGTTCTGGGCTGTAGATGTCCTCTCTAGGTGCTGATCCACCATCTGGACTGGATACGTACTGAATCCGGGTGACTGCAGTGACCATCTGATCTGGATACAGACTGGATCTGGTGACCTCGGAATAAGAGAGAAACAGACTAATATTAGCGTAGATGCCATTCTTCTAACGATGTAGCAAGTACATTGGGTGTTATGGGAAGTGTTCCCGGTTCTGGTTGTCCTAATTAATGCAGCCTAAAAATCCTTTAACGGATTTGAATATTAGAAATGTGTTAGTGTGTTATGTGTAAGCCAGGGTAAAGAGATGGGTCTTTAATCTAGATTTAAACTGACAGAGTGCGTCTGCCTCCCGAACAATGTTAGGTAGGTTATTCCAGAGTTTGGGCACTAAATATGAAAAGGATCTGCCGCCCGCAGTTGATTTTGATATTCTAGGTGTTATCAAATTGCCAGAGTTTTGAGAACGCAGCAGATGTGGAGGACTATATTGCAATAAGAGCTTGTTCAAATACTGAGGTGTTAAACCATTCAGGGCTTTATAAGTAATAAGCAAGATTTTAAAATCTATACGATGTTTAATAGGGAGCCGGTGCAGTGTTGACAGAACCGGGCTAATATGGTCATACTTCCTGGTTCTAGTAAGAACTCTGAGAACTTTGGACCAGCTGGAGTTTGTTTATTAAGTGTGCAGAATAAACACCCAATAAAGCATTACAATAATCTAACCTTGAGGTCATGAACGCATGATTTAACATTTCTGCATTTGACATTGAGAGCATAGGTCGTAATTTAGATATATTTTTGAGATGGAAAAAATGCGTGAACCGATCATCTCTTCCTCTGCTAGTTACAGCACAAAAGTCCAGTGATGTTATTCTACTCTGTTGTTTGGTTTGTTTGTCGGGCAAAATGGCAGATTCGTCATTATGATTGGTCAGATTGTGTAGCATTTTTTGTGGAACACAAAAGGAGATATTTCGAAGATATTGGGAACCAAACAGTTTCAGGGTCCCATTGACTTCCATTGTATTTTTGTGGAACCCAAAAGAAGATATTTTGAAGAATGTTGGTACCAAATGGTTTCGGGTGCCATTGACTTCCATAGTATGGATAAAAAATACTATGGAAGTCAATGAAAAAAATATTTTAAGATTGTTGTTAACCAAACAGTTTTGGAGTCCATTTGACTTCCATAATATTTTTTGTGGAACCCAAAAGAAGATATTTTGAAGAATGTTGGTACCAAATGGTTTCGGGTGCCATTGACTTCCATAGTATGGATAAAAAATACTATGGAAGTCAATGAAAAAAATATTTTAAGATTGTTGTTAACCAAACAGTTTTGGAGTCCATTTGACTTCCATAATATTTTTTGTGGAACACAAAAGAAGACATCTTAAAGAATGTAACCAAACAATTTTGGCTCCCATTGACTAGTATGGAAATACTATGGAAGACTATGGGACCCAAAACTGTTTGATTACCAGCATTCTTCGAAATTTCTTTTTGAGTTCCACAGAAAACTCATACAGGTTTGGAAAAACAAAAGGGTGAATAAATGATGACAGAATTTTTATTTTTGGATGAACTGTATAGAAAATAAATAGGGTGGCAAATAAAGAGATGCATGAAATGAAGGGGAAAGTAAAATAGAATGCAATGGGAAAGATAAAATATAAAATAATTACTAATATAAATTAGAATTGGCCAAGCTTACTGACATGTTGACATCTCTTTCTCTGTGCAGCCTGTAGCGGAGGATACGCCGAACCTGACGTTACCCTGTGCACCCCGCACCAGTGTTTTCAGAGCAGCGTGCCGCACTACGCTGAAACAGACATCATTAGTCTGCAGGGCGTCACTGGCAGCAACATGTATGCCGTTCCGGCCCTCACCGTTGATTCCCTGACACGAAAGGACATCTCGGTGGCCGAGTTCCCTCGAGAGAGACTGCTGTTCAGAGAGAAACTGGGAGAAGGCCAGTTTGGTGAGGTGAGTCCCGATGAAGCACAGCAGGAGGCTTTCTTACCGCTGCTGTTGTTCCTTTGGTTCCTTTGTCTTTTATTCAGAGTTAGTTGGGATCTTTTCACACACTCTTTACACTGTTTTATAAAAAACAGTGTTGCAATGCCTGATATTTGTTGCATGACATGGTAATACCATAGTACGTTGGTGTTTTGCATGCAAGTGTGTTTCCGTTCCCATGCTTTATGTTTGTTCGCACATGTTCATACTATTGTTGCTGTTACCAGGTACATTTATGTGAGGCCGAGGGTTTGGCTGAGTTTCTGGGAGAGGGTGCACCGTTACCGGAGCAGGACGGCAGGCCGGTGCTGGTAGCAGTTAAACAACTCAGAGCAGATGCCACCAGCAATGCCAGGTTTGGGGGGGGACACACAAAAAGCAATTGATTGGAAAGTTGCATCATAGAGTGAGGCTTCTGGGAAGCTCTTGCTTAAAAGTTTGGAAATGGTTATGTAATTATGTTGTGTTTTATTTGGTCGACACATGGATTAAGAAAAACAATAGGCAAATAGAAAGTTTGGCAAGTTTAACATTTTTGTTTTATATAACAGAAATGATTAAATATGTGTTATATTTAATTTCATTTTATATATAGATAGATAGATAGATAGATAGATAGATAGATAGATAGATAGATAGATATACATAATTCATATTTTTTATAAATAAATTATTTAAAATGTCAAAGTATTCATTGATTTTTAAAGTGATTTATTTATTTATTTTATATAATTTTTTTTCTATGTGAAGAAAATTTTACTCCTAATCAGTGCTGGGCAGTAACTAGTTGTTACTAGTTGTAATTACTAGTTACTGTAATAATATTACTTTTTGCGGTAACTAGTAGTATAACTAATTAATAATAAGGTTTCAGTAATAATATTACAGTTACCATCCATAAAACAGCTAGTTACTTAGTTACTTTTGATGCCTCAACCCCTACTGATTTGAAATCCAACAATCCAATAATTCCTAGATTTATTTTCATAATATTCACTACTCACACAGGCACATGAAGTCGCCAGTGCATCAGGAAAGCTTGAATATGGAAAAGCTTACATACAGGGGATGGAAATATTGCCATTACACTGATTTTGTCAGGATAAAAGCTTACACAGATGTAATAAATTACATTTTTGAAGTAAAGAGCGCAACACTGCTTCTAATAGACTCCTAATCCTTCATAAAATGTATAAAATTGTTTAAGAATGCACAGTTATCATTGGAATTTTTCTGTCAGAAAGTGTTCATCCGTTTACAGCTGGATTTTATTTCTCATTTATTATCGTCAGTCAATATTTACTGATGGATGCTGACATTTAACCTTTCTCCTGATCCCATGATAACCTTTCGGACTTTTGTGTCTGTGTAGAAATGACTTCCTGAAGGAGATAAAGATCATGTCGCGTCTGAATAACCCAAACATCATTCAGCTGCTGTGCGTGTGCGTGAGCTCCGACCCGCTCTGCATGGTGACGGAGTACATGGAGAACGGAGACCTCAACATGTTCCTGTCCCAGAGAGAGATAGAGAGCACACTCACACATGCCAACAACATTCCGTCTGTCAGGTGTGTCCATCATTATGAAGAAGCCTGACATGTACAGACTTTCATCTCCAGACTCGTCAATATCGCTATTCTACAAGTCAGAGTCAAGCTTAACATTCTTAACCTCCGAATTCTTCAACTTAACCTTCCAGTTTCAAGTCAGCTCTCAATTTATGATGGAAATGTTTCAGATCACAGGGTAAAAATGAAGCCAAGTTTTGAAGTGAGACCTCTGAGTCTTCAAGTCGTATTAATAATAACGTCAATAAATAATTTCAGTCTGTCCTTTTTTGAAAACCTGAATTAAAAACCTGCATTTTTGAAGAAGTACCAGCAATCAGATTTGTTACACTCAATTGCTGAACACAAAATGAAAAAAATATATATTTTACTCACCCTCAAGTTGTTTCAAACCTGTATGATTTTCTTTCTTCCTTTCACACCAGTGTTATTTTAGTATTATTTATACTATTATACTATTAGATTTATTATTGTTTATACTAGAGATCGACCGATATATCGATTTACCGATATTTTCCCCGATATTTAAGCATTTTACCATAATTGGATATCGGTTTTGTAATATCGGATTCACCGATAAACGCCGCCATCTTGTGGGTGTTTTGAGAATTGCACGCAGGATCGCCATTGCAGCACATCTAAGGGGAGACGAGACAATGAATTGAATTCTCTCTCTGTTGTCTATGCTCATCGTTAGTCTCGTGAAGTCGGAGTCACGTAGATAATCCGTCAAGATCCTCTCCCAATAAAGACGTAACTTTGCATGAGTTAAATAATACAGCCATGAATAAGCGCATGTTGGAAATAAAAGCGCTGAATTTAATTCTCTCTGTTGTATATTTGCTCATCATTAGTCTCGTGAAGCCGCTTTCATATTGCTGTTCACTCACCAAGTTGATGCTCAGGAAATGCCCCAGCACGGCCAGCGCATGTAACTTTTAACAAGATTCACTTGTTTAAAATGCCCTAAATTGTATTAACATTTACTATATAACCAATATTTCGCTAATAAACATCTAAATAAAAACTCTATGGAAATAAATTATTTATCTCCACGAGCGAATGCAGTTTGAGTATAGTTCTGTGTAACTGCATAGATAAACCACGCTGTCAGCAGGCATTTCATAATCTAGAACGACAAATACATTATTAATAATTCTGATATAACATTCCAGTTGAGAAATGCAATAAAATACGATGTTTTGTTTGTTATATTCCAATACTCCAAAGAATATTATTCAGTGAATTAACATTATCCAGTGAATTATTCTTGACTCTGTAGCTATTAAACAGCTTATAAACCTACTAAAACTGTAGTTTAAAATGAAGTTGATATGACTCCTGTCTTTTATTTATTTTCTCCATTTGAAAACATTAGACATTTATTTTTCTTATGGTTAATATTATTGTTGTTGCTGTTGATGCTTTTTTTGTGGTAGTATGAAGATTAATTTTAACATGAAAGACTGCTAATTTTCAACACTTTAAAAAAAAAAGATGACTGAAAAGAGGAAAAACCAAAGTGAAGTATGTTCTTACTTCACTCAGTCATTTATTTACTTTATAACAGTAAATAAATATTGGTTCTGCATATCGGTTATCGGGCACATAAACATGCAAATAATTGGTATCAGTATCGGTTATAAAAAATCAATATCGGTCGATCACTAGTTTATACTAATATAGTATTTATTAATATTTTGCATGTTTTTTTATTTTAGTTTGTTTTAGTAGTTTTGTCATGTGCTTTTGTCATTGTTATTCTTTTTTTAATATTTCTATTTAGCTTTAATTTATTTTTATTTCCGTTTTAGTCATTTTAGCACTTTATACTTATTTATTTCCTTTTTTAAGGTTTTCATGTAATATTTAAGTTTTTTGTATTATTAAAATTTTATATTCATATATATATATATATATATATATATATATATATTCACGCAGAAGACTTTTAACAGAATATCTGTGTCATTCTTTTGCATGCTTTGAAATTGAATGTTCTGGGGCTCCAAAAAGTATTGTAAACGTTGTCCATATGACTATTGCACAAGTCTTCTGAAGCCAAAATATAGTTTTATATGAGAAAAAAGATCAAAATTAAGATTTCCATCTCCGATATAGCTTTCAAGTCTCATTTGTGCATTTGATACAGGTTTGAAGCCAGGTCATATTTTGTGTGCATTTGCTGTTTTATTCACATGAACTCAAGACTCTTTTATTTCTGTCTCTGCAGCATTGCTGACATGTTGCACATGTCGGTGCAAATCTCTTCTGGGATGAAGTACTTGGCTTCTCTGAATTTTGTGCATCGTGATCTGGCCACACGGAACTGCCTCCTGGACCGTCATCTCACCATAAAGATCTCTGATTTCGGCATGAGCAGAAACTTGTACAGTAGTGATTACTATCGTATACAGGGGCGCGCTGTACTGCCTATACGCTGGATGGCCTGGGAGAGCATCTTACTGGTGAGGGAAAAAGAGGCTGTAAATGCTGTTCTTTTGGACATTCTATTCATCAAAGATTCCTGGAAGAGAAATGCATCTTGGTTTTCACAGAAATATTAAGCAGCACAACTGTTTTCAGCATTGATAATAATAAAAAATATTTCTTGTGCAGCAAATCAGCATATTAGAATGATTTCTGGAGGATCATGTGACACTGAAGACTGAAGTAATGATGCTGAAAATTCAGCTTTGCATCACAGGAATAAATTAGATTGAAAATATATTCAAATATTTCACAATATTACTGTTTTTACTGTATTTTTAATCAAATAAATGGAGCCTTGGTGAGCATAAGAGACATCTTTCAAAAAAAATGTACATTTAACTGTTAGGTGGAGACATTTGTTTGCAGTGACTTTCTTTCTTTGTATCAGTGCAGTATGTGTGTGTGTGTTTTTAGGGAAAGTTCACAACAGCTAGTGACGTGTGGGCATTTGGAGTAACTCTGTGGGAGATCTTCACTTTATGTAAGGAGCAGCCCTACAGCCTGCTGTCTGATGAACAGGTCATCGAGAACACCGGCGAATTCTTCCGAAACCAGGGGAGACAGGTACACACTTGGAAAACTTGAACTTTACTTTGATTTTGGTTTCGCTTTTGATTTGAAGTGAGTGCATTTTACTTTGCATTTGGTGAAGTGAATCCTTTGGCAAAGTAAACTAATCTGAAGTTAAGTGAATCGTTCTGAGGTGAAGTGAATCGATTTGCAGTGAAGCAAATGGATCTGAAGTGAAATGAGCAGGGTTCTTGTGGGTGCTTAAAGTCTTAAATTCAGTTTGATCAAATTTAAGGTCATAAAAAGTTAAATGGTATAACAAAGTTTTAATGATCATTTTAAAAGGTCTTTTATTTTGTGGACAGAAAAACTAGAATTGCAATACAGACTAACGATTATTAGACTTCAAAAGGCTGATTTAATTAAATAAATGTGATGAGCAGTTGGAAGTAAAGCATATACATTTCAAAATAAGAGTCCCTTTGCGTTTTAGTACAGTTTACAATTAAAAGTCCCGCATTATGCATAAAATCATTTTTTTTCAGGATTGTATTAGTATTTAACGCAATACAGAATAAACTATATCTTCTTTTAATTCATTGTAAACTCTTGAAGCTTCTCTCTGGGCTGCCCCATCACAGGAAGAAAAGACAACTACTATTATTTATCACATTCAGCATACTAATTTTACTAGTATCGGCACAATAAACTGTTGATTTTTATTTTAAACATTATTTTTTGTATCAGCAAAATCCAATATTGATCGACCTCTGATTTGTGTGTGTGTGTGTGCGTATATACATTACGAATATATACAGTATATATATATATATATATATATTAGTGCTGTCAAACGATTAATTGCGATTAATCGCATCCCAAATAAAGGTTTTTGTTAACATAATATATGTGTACTGTGTATATTTATTATGTATATATAAATACAAACTCATGCATGTATATATTTAAGAAAAATATGTTATGTTTATATATTCAATATATTTATATATAATACATGTGCGTATTTGTATATACTTAATAAATAAACAGTACACATACATATATTATGTAAACAAAAACCTTTATTTTGGATGCGATTAATCGCGATTAATCATATATATATATATATATATATATATATATATATACACAATTATTATACAAGTAAAATAATTTGAGATAAATTATTTATTTTTGAATTAAATGGTTTTGTTCTATATGGACATATGGTATTAATTTGAAAAGTGAATGAATCTGAATTAATGTGAATTGGACTAAAGTGAGGTCTGAAAAGAAATTATCCAAAATAAAGATTGTTCATTTTTTTTCTGGCAAACTCTGAGACTGAATTAATGCACAACCACAAACCTTTGCATGAACTTATACATCATTTACATGGATGTTTCATCTGAAAGATTTCTTAACTATGTTTTTTCTCTCTCTTTCTCCCTAGATCTTTCTCTCCGCCCCACCACTCTGTCCATCCTCTCTGTTCGAGCTGATGATGCGTTGCTGGAGTCGTGACATTGCAGATCGCCCCACTTTTCACAGATTGTATCAGGCCCTGCTAACTTTTGCACCCCACTCATGACCGAAACCTGCTATACTGAAATAACCTGGAGGAAAACTGTTATGCAAGTCTTCTGACTGCTCGCCAGTCACTGAAGTAGAGCAGGAACATTATAGCCACAATGTAGCGTCATTAGAGCGGTAGAAATCCAAAGGAGGAGAGATCTAGAGATGACGAGATTTCACAAAAGGCATTCATTCATTTATCCACTCACATATTCATCTCCATTGGGACTCAAAGAGCTTTTTTTCCAATCCAGAGACACTTGAGATTTTTTTTAGACTTGTTGTTCTTTCCCTTTTTTTCTTTACATAATATATGTGTACTGTGTATATTTATTATGTATATATAAATACAAACTCATGCATGTATATATTTAAGAAAAATATGTTATGTTTATATATTCAATATATTTATATATAATACATGTGCGTATTTGTATATACTTAATAAATAAACAGTACACATACATATATTATGTAAACAAAAACCTTTATTTTGGATGCGATTAATCGCGATTAATCATATATATATATATATATATATATATATATATATACACAATTATTATACAAGTAAAATAATTTGAGATAAATTATTTATTTTTGAATTAAATGGTTTTGTTCTATATGGACATATGGTATTAATTTGAAAAGTGAATGAATCTGAATTAATGTGAATTGGACTAAAGTGAGGTCTGAAAAGAAATGATCCAAAATAAAGATTGTTCATTTTTTTTCTGGCAAACTCTGAGACTGAATTAATGCACAACCACAAACCTTTGCATGAACTTATACATCATTTACATGGATGTTTCATCTGAAAGATTTCTTAACTATGTTTTTTCTCTCTCTTTCTCCCTAGATCTTTCTCTCCGCCCCACCACTCTGTCCATCCTCTCTGTTCGAGCTGATGATGCGTTGCTGGAGTCGTGACATTGCAGATCGCCCCACTTTTCACAGATTGTATCAGGCCCTGCTAACTTTTGCACCCCACTCATGACCGAAACCTGCTCTACTGAAATAACCTGGAGGAAAACTGTTATGCAAGTCTTCTGACTGCTCGCCAGTCACTGAAGTAGAGCAGGAACATTATAGCCACAATGTAGCGTCATTAGAGCGGTAGAAATCCAAAGGAGGAGAGATCTAGAGATGACGAGATTTCACAAAAGGCATTCATTCATTTATCCACTCACATATTCATCTCCATTGGGACTCAAAGAGCTTTTTTTCCAATCCAGAGACACTTGAGATTTTTTTTAGACTTGTTGTTCTTTCCCTTTTTTTCTTTATCATACATGTTATTTCTGTCTTTTTCCCAGAAGAACAGTGACTCTTGAGCCTACTGTATATTCTAGGCAGAAGGAACCAACTGGACAAATGTTGTGTTTGTCAAAACTGTGGTTGTGTATCGTTAAGCACTGCTGTCTTTGGTTTTTATTTCATTTTTGTCTATTTTGTTCCTTATTTACCCCCACACTGGAGTTACCGTGTCTTAAGATATTATTTGTTGTTTTGCTCTCTAAATATGAATGTTTTTACAGGTTCTTTGGATATAGCCGGGTCAGAGACTTGCTCTGCCTGGATCTAGCAGAACTACTGTTATAGTTAGATTAAAAACCCTTTCGGAGGAGAAAGGAGAGGGTTATAGAGCCAACAAAGGACTGACGTGCAATTGAATGCACTGTTTGTTCCCCCAACTTCTAACAGGCCACTTTAAAGTCAACATGAAATGAGAACAGACCAATGGACCAAACAAGACAATGTTTGTTGTTGTAGTATTTCATCAAAATGTAATAACTTGGTTCTTGGTTAATGTAAAAAAAAAAACAAGAAGCATTTCCATTGTGATACGTCAAGAGGTTCTTGGGGCGAATTTGACCTTCACGCTCCACATGCAGATGTCCAATTATAGAAGTAAAATAGGTTGTTAATGCAATTTCTTGTTGGCTTTAAAGGAATAGTTCACCCAAAAATTAAAATTTGCAGAACATGTTCTCACCCTCAGGGCATCCAAAATGTAGATGAGTTTATTTCTTCATCAGAACAGATTTGGAGAAACATAGCATTCCATCACTTGCTCACCAATGGATCCTCTGCAGTGAATGGGTGCCGTCAGAATGAGAGTCCAAACAGCTGATGAAAGCATCACAATAATCCGCAGAAACAAAGAAAGCAATATTATGGACAGATGACTCGTATTTTAGCCTGAAGCAGCAATTTAACCTAAAAAAACCTTAATGATGGATTTGTTTGTTACAAATACGCAGCTTTTCACTTCACAAGATGTTAACTGATGGACTGGAGTCGCATGGATTATTGTGATGTTTTTATCAGCTGTTTGGACTCTCATTCTGACGGCACCCATTCACTGCAGAGGATCCATTTGTGATCAAGCGATGTAGTGCTACATTTATATAAATCTGTTCTTATGAAGAAACAAACTCATCTTGGATGGTCTGAGAGTGACTACATTTTCAGCACATTTTCATTTTTGGGTGAACTATTACTTTAAAATCCAGCAATGTTTCACCACCACAGCCAAACAGACTGAATTTCAACTCTGTTGCAAAGGAAGACACAATAATTCCTTGTTATAGGCATCCAGTTCTACAGTTACATTGTTGTTGTATCTAAATAAACTAAGTCTGGCTGAGGACATACAGGACCAATAATATCAATATTGTAGAGATCCATTGATTGTCTTCGATCTCTGTAGAAGGCACATGATTATGGGGGAATATGTATGTAAGTTTAAAAGTATTCAAAGCACATATTTCTTTCTTTTAATCCACTTTAATGTTTTATAAATGTCATTGAATGTTTTTAGCATAAGTTTGTGAATGAATGAGTGTTGCACCAAAAAAACTTTTGGTACACTACGATGTAACCAATCTGATATTTCAGTCTTTTATCATCAGTGTGTATTAGTTTCTACATTCCTTTTCTGTAGTTTGTGTTTACTGTATTTCAGAAATTGTCTTCAAATGTACAGGAGACGTTTTATTGTTTGGCTGCTGAAAGGTTTGGCTATGCAGGACGTTTTGAAGAGTCCTCCAATAGCACTGGGATTTCGATTGAATGTTGGTGGTAGGAAAGCTTAGGAGAAGGGCAACCACTAAAACTCAATCTCCCAGAAGCCTTTGCTGAAGTGAGCCTGAGGCAATTTCTGTTATTACTGATCAGAGTTTGCTTTTCACTACATATTTAGAGACCAAGAGTGCATGTCCATGTGAATGCGTGACACTGTGAGTGTGGTTTTTGTTCAAGTGAAAGTAAATGTACCTTATTTTATCATTTAGTTTTAAATAAGTCTTTCGTTCAAACCTTTTAACTCTCTGTACGTGTCCTTCATGTACATTACATAAGCAGAGTAGATACTGTATGTATAGTAATATATTGGAGACTAAGGAAAACTTGTTTTCTTTCATCTTTCGTATTTTCCATAATAAATACAGATTTTGCTGTAACTGCAGTGTTAATGCGTTACTTATTCTGAATACTATTTTATTTTTCTAAATATCTGAGTACACTCTAAAAAATGCTGGGTTAAAAAGGGACAAACCCAGCTATTGGGTTGTTTTGCAATAAGACAGGCAATAAACTTCAGGGCAGGTAGAGATCAGACAAGATGAGAAAACAGGCTAAGATCAAAACACGAGTAAACAGAATATGAACAAGACTAAACTCTTAACTCAGGAATCACGGGATGGCTTGGTAAAGCAGCTAACACTAGGAGAGTAATAAATGCAGAACAATACTCGGCGACTTGAGCAGGATCTGAGTAGGTATTATATAGTGTGTGTAATGGCTTTCAGGTGCGCGTGTGATTGGTTACAGCTGTGTGCAATCAGTGCAATGGATGATGGGAAATGTAGTGCAGGGTATAGTGTAACAGTCTGTGTAGTGTGAGAGTCCATGTAGTGAGTGGGTGACCTCTGGTGGTGAGTGAACGGAAGTTCATAGACCGGATTTGTGACAGAGCCCCCCTCCATGGAGCGGCTTCCAGACGCTCTAAACATTACACAATCCAGGAAGGAGGTGGAGCGAAGGCGGAACAGGGGGAGATGAGAGTCCATGTAATGAGCGGGTGACCTCTGGTGGTGAGTGAACAGAAGTTCATAGACCGGATTCGTGACAGAGCCCCCCTCCAAGGAGCGGCTTCCAGACGCTCTAAACATTACACAATCCAGGAAGGAGGTGGAGCGGAGGCGGAACAGGGGGAGGGACGGAGGGCCAGGTCCATGTAAAGGTGTAAGACCCTGAGCCAGGACCGGCAAAACAGGGGACCATGATGGAGCCGGCAGAAGGGGTGGAGCTGAGGACCACCACAGCAGAGCAGACAGGTTCAAGGATCTCCACGGCGGAGCAGAAGACCACCAGAGCAGGACAGAAGACCCCCACGGCGGAGCAGAAGACCACCAGAACCAGGCAGAAGACCACCATGGCGGAGCATACGGGTCCGAGGATCCCCATGGCGGAGCAGAAGACCACCAGAGCAGGACAGAAGGCCACCACGGCGGAGCAGACAGGGCAGACGACCTCCACGGCGGAGCAGACGGAGTTGGAGCCCACCAGTGTGGAGCAGACAGGACAGAAGACCTCCATGGCAGAGCAGACGGGTCCGAGGATCCCCATGGCAGAGCAGAAGACCACCAGAGCAGGACAGAAGTCCACCATGGCGGAGCAGACGGAGCAGGAGCCCACCAGTGCGGAGCAGACAGGGCAGAAGACCTCCACGGCGGAGCAGACGGAGTTGGAGCCCACCAGGGCAGAACAGAAGAGTACCATGACGGAACAGGCGGATCAGGAACCCACAGCAGAGATTGGAGCCTAGGAAAAACTGAGACACAGAAAACAGAGAGAGCATATACAGTCTCAAGGACTGGGGTAGGGACCACAAGAAGTTCATTAACCGTTTCCCTGGTGACAACTGAGCAGGCAGACAATTCATAATCAAGCTCATTTACTTAAAGTGGACTAACAGACAGTTCAACATCTGATTCATTGACTGGAATGGGACAGGA